AGTAATGTGCTTAGCATAAATGTCACCGTAGAAGGTCCCCGAGTGTGAGACATAGAAAGTTAAGATGGTCCATTTTAAGATAAAGTCTTTAATTCTGAGTGGAAAGCTACTAGTAGACAAACTTGCCAGCTTACTGAGGACATGACTGAGGTCAGGCACCTGAATGTCCCTGAACAAAGGAGGAAGGGGTAGATAGTCGATAAAGTATGGCTTCACTGTGCTGACTCTGATTGGAAAACTACTGGAAGTTACCCACCTGTGGCTTAATCGTTTGCCTTTAAACCCACAAAACGCTTGCAGAGGGAGTGGGCCAAGGGTATAGCCTAAAACATTTAGGTAACATCCAGGAAGACTGTACACCCCATAGCACTCAGCCAATGAGGAAACTGGGGGAGGGGACCTGTGTGCTAGGGGATAGACTGCTCCCTGTAACTGCTTTTGCCTGCCTGCCGGGGAGGCTGGCACCCACCCATGCAAGACTGGGAGATAAAGTCGTGCCTTCCCTGCATTCCCGGCCCTTAGTCTGTCCAGTGTGCATGATCAAGGGTGAGGGGCCTTATTCCTCACATAGAGGTAGCCCGTCCCTCTTGTGGCTCCAGCCTAGTCAGTCCCACCCAGCTGGGAGAAGACTGAGGCTGTGTACACTTCTAACCCTAGCCGTGGTTCAGGGGTGCTTTCTGCTCATGTCATGGCCACCTCCAGGCGGCTTGTGGCGCGGAGTGTTGCTGTGGCTCAGGTGAGAAACATCTAAGGCCACCCCCCGGTCCCTGAGGGACGCCCTGCCTGAGAGCTCCTGCCCAGCGCTGCGGCCTCTGGGGCCCATCTGGCCCATCGTACCTCTTCAGTTTTCACCTGTACATTTATAGTTTCCCCTCTGAATTATGTCACTTCATCTAAACTCTGGGCATACTAGTCAGCCTTTTGTTTTTGTGACCAAATATCTAATACCCGAGAAAAATAACTTAGAAGAGGAAATACTTATTATGGCCCACAATTTCAGAGTTTTCAGTGTGCGCTTGGCTGCCTTTGGGGTGGAAATACCATGGAAATACCATGGTAGAGGAAAGCTGCCCACCTCACAGCAGCCAGGAAGCAGAGCATGTTGGAAAGAGCCGGAAAACTCCTATCCTCCAAAGTCGCCCCAGCGACCTTCCTCCTGCGGCAAGGCCCCGCCTCCCCCAGCCTACTCAGCTGTGAGCTCATCAGTGGGTCGATCCACTGTCTGTGGGCCAGTCCTTGATGAGTTCAGTGCTTTCACAGTGCAGTTGCATCTGTAGCCCCGCTGTGACCCCCACTGCAATGGAGACCAGACCCCCAATCTTGAGTCTTGGGAGGACCTTCTTATTTAGACCGCAGGATTATTTGGAATTCTTCAGTGTCTGTGTTTTCCTTTCTCACTTGTGATCTTAGTGGAAAAACCATTCTCATTGATACTGATGGGGTAATTTCCCCTGCCCATTTAGGTGGTGTTTAGTTAGGGAGCTAAATTCTACTACATATGCCCTGACCCAGGTCCTGTCTGGCCCTGGCTCCATGAGGCTCTTCTGGTGGCTCTGTGCTCTTTCTTCCTTCCTGGGCAGCAGGGTGCTTGGCCGAAAGTGTATCTTTGGAGTCTATGGTCTTGCGTTAAAGTCTGTCCTGTGTTGGCCATTTTGGTGTCTTGATCCACACCCCCGTACACATATGTGCCTCTCTCTGTCCTCAGGATGGGGCATCAGATTGGTTTCCAGCAGTTGGAAGAGGAGTGCAGCCTGCTGATCTTGCCTGGATTTTGTCCAGGACATGCCTCCGGGGCCATCAGTGTTCTGTTCTCTGTGGGGCCCTGTGTGATAATCGCCTCTGGGTGGCCTTGCCAGCCAGGGGATCTGCTGCCACATTCTGGGGTCTTCTGAAGTATGCTGTGCCCCTCTTGATGGTTCCCCCATTACCGGTGGATGCTGTCTTGGGCCTGCTCAGGGGATATTTATCTCGTTCTAGCAGGAAGGGTAATTCTGATTCTCTTGGCGTTTGGAAGACAAATCGGCACAGGGGTTCTCTGAGTTAAATGCCATTACTTCATTACATTGAAGAATAACAAATGGCCCATTGTGAGAAATGACACATAGAATAGGGTGCCGACATTTCCATGGATAAAATAATAAGCCAGCTAAACAGACGAAGAAAAATCGAGGCTTCTGCCATCCCACACAGTGTCTGTTTTCTCTGTGTCCAGGCTAAGAGCCCAGCTGCTTCTGTGGCCGAGGCAAGGCTCAGGGGTTGGAGGCTCTGTCTCCCTATTTACCTTCTACCGTAGCTGAGGAAAGAGTTCTGTGCTTGGAAGGCCCTTGAAAGAGAGAATATGTCCATGGAAAACATCTCGAAAGACTTGCTCTGATTATGGTTGCTGGTTCCATTCCCTGAGATTACAAAATAAAATCAGCTGTGCTCTAGACTGGTGGGATGAAGATTGGTCCTGCTGAAGCCATTTTCCCAGGAAGGTGGCTGCTGGCACCTGTGTCTGTGCCCTTCACCTTGCAGATTCATCAGTAGGGAGACAATGGTGGGGTCACACTAGGGCCTGTGACAAGCCTGTCCTGTTCCCTCCCACCGCTGCCTGTGCACACTGGCAAGCATTTGGAGACCTGGTATTTGCATTTGTGATAGCTTGGCCACTCTGGGGAATTCTGGAGACAGCATTCAGAGAGGGTGTGCTCAGGCCAAGTGCTGCACTCCTGGCCAGCAGGGTTCCCAGGCCTGGCACTGTGCCGGCCTGGGCCACAGTGGGCAGAGCTGTCCCCATGTGCTAGATAGAGTGTGAGTCATTGGAGGGTATGAGCTCAGGCCACGAAGAGGGGCAAGGGAGGAGCCATGGCCAGCCAGGCATGCCTGTTGTCTGAATCCTGCATCCGAGGGAAGGGCCAGGTCATGGGCATGTGTGTGTCTGCTTTCTGGGCCAGCCCTTGGGCAGTGAGTATGTGCACTGGGTTAGGGATGAGGGTCCAGTACATTGTGGGTGACAGCATCCTGTACAGTTCAGTCTGAGGACTAACTGACCCTTCTTCCACCTTCCTGCCACTGGACCATTCTGGCACCTGAACGTTTCTTTTTCCCTGAATGCACAGCTTCTTGAGGGGATCAGCTGTCCCGCCTGCCCCTGTGAGTTGATTGTAGAGCGGTTCTCATGAAGGATACCTGCCACCTGCTGTGCACCTCACCCACAGTGGTGTCAACCTGGGGGGCACAGAAAAAGTGTGCCCCATCCTTACAGTGCAGTGTTGTTCAGCCATAGAAGGATGAAGAATCAATGCACAAGCTAGTGTGTGTACCCTGAAAACTGTGCTGGTGAGAGGAAGCCAACTCTGCAGCCACACGGTGTAGGAGCCCATCTCTGTGAAATGTCCAGCACTGGCAGGTCCCTGGAGATGGAGTTAAGTTGGTGGCTGCCAGGGTTCCTGGGGAGGGAGGATTGAGGCTGACTGCTGACAGCCCAAGGTCTCTTACCCAGGTGATGGATGTGCCCTTGAATTAGGTGACGACTTCATCCTAACTCTGTGAGTAGACTAAGGACTACTGAGTTTTATACTTTAAAGGGTAGATTTTATCACCCTTTAGTTGTTTCTCAATTTAAAAATCCCCCCAAACCAAACTAAGCCTAAACCTGACCTGTGGAGTGAAGAAAGGAGCATGTGAGGGCCATTGCTGCCTGTGTCCCTTCTAGACACCCTCTCACTGCCCCAGAGAAGTGTGTGCCGGATGGGCTGGTAGGCCAGGTGAGTGAGTGGGATGTGTGGCCGAGACCTACATTGCTGCAGGGCTGAGCCGCACTGGATACGTGTCCACAGCTGTCACCGTCCTGTCTGCCTGAGGGGAAGGTGGAAATGCAGCCTTTATCATCCTGATTTCTGTGGTCAGCCATGGACCCGGGAGGTGGTGTGCTTGTCCACAGTGAGAGCTAGGGACCCTGCAGGGTGCTCTGCGTCCTCGTGGGGAGCAGTTATGGGTGCGAGCTCTCAGGCTGCTCAGCACGTCCTGTGCTTGGTCATTGTTTCCATGCATGTCCTGGTCCATCAGGGCACACGGCATTGGCACCAGAACTGTGACTGAGAGCAAATGAGCGGGCACATATGCAACCCAGAGAAGGGTGCCTGGCATCTGGTAATTTCCCAATAAATATTAGCAGTTATTATTGTCATTAGCATTATTGTGAATTTTTTCCCTGCTTAAAATTTTCTAAATTCATTCTGGATTAAAATGTTTCTTTCCTAAAAGAACATTTTCCTTGCAAAGATGCATGTGCATTTGCAAATATAACAAAAGTGAGAAAATTAAAAAATAGACATAATTTTAAAAAACATTTATGAGTTTTATACTGGATGATAGCAATTTTTATAAGGATCTAAAATTAGTTTGTTCAAATATCTGATAAGCCATTTCAATTAGGCATCTGTTTTGCATTTTAAGAATTTTTAAGTTATATTTTCTCATCAGGCTTTTATAGGTTCAGAAGGAAATTGTTTACAGCACTACTGTCAATGTTTTCTTTGAAGCACATCTGTGTTCCTGCTTTCTGGGGTATTTGATCACTACTTACAAGTATTTACTTAGTGTAGTTTTGGAAACTTTAACCTTGGAACATGTTTTTAGGGGGATTATTGCCAAACAAATACATAAATATATTAGAAGCAGGGTTTAGAAAATCTGATGGAGAAACTTTGGGATTTCCATTAGGAATTAAGTAATACATTTAGGTTCTTCCTTATTGGAATGTAAAATGCCTGAGAAGCAATAATTTACAATATATTAAATATGTTAATTAATCAGAGAGGATTCAGAATATTAATTATCTGTAACTAATTAGGTAATAAAATTGAGAAGCATTAAGTGATGAGGTGTAAGACTGCATGAGCCATTTAGTGAGTGCCGTGAAAGATGGGGTGGAGGTAGAGCAGACAGCAGCCTCCACCCTGCCGTGTTTATTTTGTGTGGTTAATTGCACCTTATCCTTTCCATGCTTGGTCCAGTAGAGGAGGAAGATGTGGACAGGCTCAACATCTCCCGAGTGCCTGCAGAGGTGGTGCGCAACGTGGAGGCTGACACCTACTGGTGCATGAGCAAGCTGCTGGACGGCATCCAGGTGAGCCACGCCCCGCGGGCTCAGGAAGCCCCAGAGAGCGGGTCCCAGGCCTGAGGCACCTTTGTGGAAGAGGATGCAGGGCCCTGCACCCTCCTCTCAGCCCTGCTGTTTCTGAGCCCGGGAGCTCCGGCATCTGCGTGGGACAGTGCAGCTCCTGTGGCTGGTGAGATGGGAGATGTGTCCTGTGTGCCCCTTTTTGGGATGGTCATGGTGTCCCACTGAGGTTTGCAGTGGGAAGGTGGGCTCAAAGTCTGATACCACAGCTCTTGGTTGTCCCTCACCTGCTGCCCACAGACTCTAACATCAGCACCTGAGGGTGGCTGCTCATGGGTGTAGGTTATTTGGAGGAACCTGCCCCTTAGAGGATCGGGTTGAGGCTGGAGCAGCCCTTGGTCCTACCAGCCTTGGTGGCAGGGCCATTAGCACTTGGGAGACTGCAGCTGAGCCCAGTCGGAAACCCAAGTGAGTGTAGTCCTGTGCGTCATGGCCAGGGTGCTGGGGGTATCCATGGCTGGGATTTTCACAGAAAGGCCTCAGTGACAAGGGCTGCTTTTGTGGAAATGGGTTGGGGGAAGAATTCTACTCAGTGCCCGGGGTGGCCCTACTGGGTGACTTAGGAACGAGGACTAGAGCTGGCAAATGTCACAGGATCAGTGGCTGAGATTAGTAATTGCCCTCGAGTGCAGGGTGGAATGTGTCAGGTCCTATTATGCCCACACGCCTTTCCTTGATAGCTGCTTTGTGTTGGGCACTGTGCTCTGTGTCTGGGAGGGAGTGGGAAGGGAATTTGAGGACGCCCCCGGAGCTCCCTGTAGGACAAGGCAGACACTTTAGTATAGCACGAGCTCCCACATGTTGGGTATAGGGAACACCGGTAAAGGACAGTGGATGCCCACACAGGAGGGAGAGCCCAGAGGAGGGTTTGGTTGATGGGAGTTCTCTGAAGTTCCCTCTGGGAAGCCCCATGCAGAGGGCCCCTCCTCCCAGCTTTATAGATTCCTCCAGTCTGCCAAGGCGAGGGTGGGATTGGTGCACTGTCCTCACTGCCCTGCCTGGTGCTCCTGGCTGAAGAGGTCTCAGCTTCTGAAAGGGACAGAACAAGGCTTTTATAAAATGTAGCTTAAAGATTCAGACTCTGAGGTTTAATTTGAATAAATTAACCAAACTCTTTGTATTGAGGAAAGCTGGGTTTGCATTGCTTTTGATAAGTTAGGCGATGACAAGGAGAAATTGGAATCCCTTTGTGTTGTTGAAGAGTAGAAACCTCATATCTGTTACTAATCCAGACGTCATCATGACTTATTTTGTTTCTTGTCAAGAAAAATGTGCCTGCTGGAGACATATTTTGGCCCAGCCTCAATTCATCACTTCCCTCCTTTTGTTAATGTTTTCATATTTTTTATTCTTTCCCCCAGAACCCAACCCCCCCCCCCCTCCCAAGAAGAGGGATTGAATCGTAATGTAAAACTTTATAAATTTCCAGTGTCACTCCTCTGATCGTGAGTGATGGAACTTAGGCCATGTAAATACAGGATTATCTGGCTTCTGTTTGTAAATAAGATCAGCTGTACAACAAAATCGATGCTGGCTTTTCATTTTTCACCTGAGCCTGTGTCTGACGACCTCATTTATTGACAGGCCTGATGGGCGGAAGCAGGGTGCTCTTAGGGTGTTGGGTTTACAGTGCTGTGTTTACGGTGCGTCACAGCCCCGGGTGGCCGTCTGTCTTTCTGTCACGTGGTTTCGATTGATTCTGAATGATCCTTGTGAAAGCTGCAGCTGAGGGTACCAGTCCCTCCATCTGGCCATGTGGGAGCTCGACTGTTGTTCCTGTGGCCGAGGCCACCCCAGGCAACCCCAGTGAACCGCTCTGCTCACCAGGGGTGCCATCATTTTATTTTCTTAGATGCGAGCTGCTTTGAAATCCAGCCTCACCTTGGCTGGAGAGAGTCAGCCCTTTGAGGACCCTGGTGCTGCCGTCCTCAATTCCCGGCTACCTCGGTCTCTTTGTCTCTTTCCTATGTCTGGTCTCCCTCCCTCACATTCAGTCTCCTGAACGGAATGGTCTTCTTAAGCCCTCATTTCATCCCGTCATTGCCTCCATGGAAAGCCCTCTGGAAAACCTTTCTTGGTTTTAAATGCAGGCCCTCTGCCTGGCCTTCGCCAGTGTCCCCGCATTTCTCTGAGTCAGCTGTATTCTCCGAAGGGTGCCTACGGCCCATACCTTTGCCAGAGACAAAGTGCGGTGTCACTGTAGCCACACTGCAAGCCCATGACTCTTCTTCTCAGGGACTGCAGAGGGACCCTGTGGCCCACGGGTGTCACGTGTGGCAGTAGGATGCTGAGGTTGGAGATGGGAAGCTGGCTGCATCTCCTGTGTGACGATGCCTCTTAATGTGGGTACTGTGCCCTGGACAGACTCAAGGCTGCACCCAAGCACCAACTGGAGCTGAGATGGAGCTGCCTTCCCAAGATCCCACCTGCAGTGGATCCTCACCCTTGGTTCTTTACGTTGTTTCATGGCCCCTCTGGGCTGAAGTGGTGTAGAGTGAGCTCTACCTCACAGGGGAAGTTCTGTACACACAGACCACTTCTGTCTGTTTTCTTAACCTCTGACATCTGGACAGTGGTAGATGTGTTTTGGGTTGACCGTGGAGCTTCAGTTTGAGTCTGTTTTCCATTAGGTTTTATAAATTCCTTGGTTAATTCCATCAATTAGGCCTGAGTGTTGGGAGCTCCTGGGAGTTCCTGGGAGCTCCTGCTGTACAGGTGCTGGGGCCCTCAGAGGACTGTGGTGTGTGTGACCCACCTGCCTTGCTGCAGGTCGGGGGGGCGGGGGAGGGCGTGCAGTCAGGTGGGCGGGGCAGGGAGAGAGTATGGCTAATGGTGACCAGTACCAGGCCATGGTGAACAGAAAACCCTAAAAATGGATCACTGGACCCCTTGAGATGAGGGGAGTTCTCCAGGAAGGAAGAGGATGACCCCGCTGGTTGGGGGGTAAGTTGTGGTCAGTGTTTAGGAGATGTGCTGTAGGAGCAAAGTCTCACCTGGGAAACCAAAGCAAAGCTGTTCTGAGCAGAGAAGAGCTTTATAGAGTGAGTAGGATGGGAGCGCCCCGGAGAGGACTGAAGCTGCAGCTGTCATCAGCAGACAAGTGCTAAGCCAGCAACAGGAAGGGACCACAGAGCGAGTGGATATAAAATGTTAAAGGAAAAGAGCAGCTTAAAATTGAGAGTAAGACTGAAGATTTTGGGATTTACCTCAGTGGCACCGCGCCTGTCTTGCAAGCTCAAGGTCCTGAGTTCAATCCCCAGTCCCCCCCCACCCCCACCCCCCAAAAGACTGAAGATTTTAGCAAGAGCTAAACAGCTCCTCATCATACTTATAGTCACTGGAATTTACAAGTCCTCAGACATAGGAGAGAATGGAGTTAGCACAGCATGCAGCTCTGAGAAAATTGCTCAGTGGGCAGCACAGATACTGGAAGTAAGACAGAAGTAAGACATGGAAGTGGGAGGGAGAACACCGGTTCCTGGCTGGAGGAAAGCCAGGATTTATAAAGATAGAGCTGAGAATTTTAAGATATTGTTACTTACATTCAGTGAACAAGTGTGGAGAAGATGAGACAGAACAAAATCACAGGGAGACCAGAAGGCGAAAGCACCAAATCAGGAGGAGAGAGAGTCTCCGAGGAAGGATAGGCTGGTGACCCCAGAAGAGAAGATATGGGAGTGGATGAAAGCAGATTGCAGCAGCACCCTCAGATGGCCAAGAGAGAGGAACAGTGTCTTCAGTGCTCTGAAGAAAAGTAACCCCCAAGCCACATTGGATTTAGTAACATCTGCCAGCTGTGAGCGGCTTCTGACACCCTCCTGAAAGGTGATGATGTGAGAAGGAAGACGGGAGCTGGGGAATGGGAACCACAGTCGTGGTTAAGTAGTCGGGTGGTTCCTGTGCAGCCGTGGCATGGCTGTGTGGCCCCTTAGACGGAATGGAAAGGCAGAAGCACTGGTAGGGACGGAGGCACTGCAGAGTGAAGAGTGCTTGGCAGCCCAGTGTGTACATGTACAGAAGTACACCAGGCTGGGAGAGCAGGAAGGGTGCAGATGGAGACAGGGTGACCTGGAGGCAAGGTCAGAGCCACGCCCTTTTCCAAGTGTGCCCTTCCCTCCCAGCAGCCCACAAGATGCCTCCCACATTCTGGCTCTGCTTGCCTGCTTCTCAGTGATTAGCAGGTCAAGCAGATGAGGATTTTCAAGAGTGGGAGCATTTGCAGTGTAGTTAATAGTTTGGGCTGGTGGGTGTGTCTTAGAGCTCCAGGTTTGGCCTGCAGAGAACACTGCTTTTCTAACACACTTCATGATCGAGGTTCCCAAGGAGCTGTGAGGACCTTGGTCTGAGTAGGGACCAGCAGCTAGGGGAGCATCTCTGCTGTGCCAGGCTCTGTGCCACGCTCTGTGGACTGACCAGGATTGCATGGGGATTGCAGTGTAGCTGCGAAGCCAGGTCTGTGATTGTACCCTTCCCTCATTTGTGATGGACAGTGCCCTGTTTGCTTCAGAAATACTCTTTTTCTTCTCCTTTGGTGCTGGGAGGAAAGGATCAACACCTTCATTTCCAGGTCTCAGTCTTATAGGAGAGACTTCATAGAGTGATGCTGGGAAGCCACTGGTGGCTCCTGTGAGCAAGTATGTGAGGTCATTGGCACCACCTCTCCAACCTAGCAGAGGAATGTGAGCTGTGTTTGGGCCAGGAAGGGCAGACTCTAGGACCCTGATGAGCCGAAACTCGATGGTAGTAGGAAAGGCAGGTGTGCTGGATGCAAGAGGGCGTGCTGAGCAGCCATGCAGAGTGGTGCCATAGTGGGGTGCAGGTGGCAGTGGGAGCATGCTGCCTCCTTGGGGCTGCTGGGAAAGATCTGGATACTTTTGGGTAGCTGTTATAACTGGGGGATACCACTGGCATTGTTTGACAGTGTCGGGCTACTAAATGTCCAGCAG